ATATCGCTTAAAGCTTCGGGTGGCACTATGTGCATGTTCTTGGGCACGAACAAAATGCACGAACAAAATGCCAAGGACTAGGAATTTGTCGTTTTACCACGGTCAGTTGTTAGTGCGTGTGTTTATGTTGATTTACTTCATGACCCATCAGCAGTCTTACAGACTTTGCGAAACGAGCTATACCTACATTGGAGTTAATCGTTTGCGATTTTCTATTTTCAGCCATTTTTCACTCACTTGAGAATTATTCCAAATCTACACGTACTACTTCCACAGCATCGTCTGTTCTTCCACGGCGTAGGCTACAAAAATACGACATATCACGAAATGCTCCCCGATTTCGTGACAAATCGAATATAATACCGGTCAAAGTGGTCAACATAAAAATGACAGAGTTTTTTTCACTCCCATCATTATCAATATGGGCAATACACTGCTCTGTCTGAACACAATTATAGTCTTCTTTGACCTTGAGGAACAGGATCTCATATATTAATAGGATTCCGTCAACAGGGTTAGGTCATACTTTAATTGAGCAGACCGAGTACTTAGTGTGCTCTCACCAAGCTTAGGTCCAATATCAATAATTTGATGTCTGTATACCTTTGAGGTTGAAGTAACAGCCGAGTTGTTGACTAAATAATGAGTGGTTTTCCCAGTGCTGTAATACGGTTGAAACATCCAGCAGTGAACCCGGCTATTAGTTTGTCTAATTAAACAATTGATTGCTGAATATGTTTACGTTCACGCGCTTCACGTAGTGTTTGCCAATCACCATACAATTCAGACTGCAATGTATTGATTAGGCCTGGGCGAGTAGTGGATTTTTGTACTCGAGTACTCGCAAAGAAATCATTCGCGAGTACTCGAGGATTCGCAAGTAGTTAACCGAATCCCTACAAAAGCAGAAAAATGACATAAACGTTAGTGTGACGGTAAAATACTACAAGCAAAGGGCATGTAAGTCGCATCACATTCTTCAGCACTGAGATATCCTTACTATGTGACGTTTTGGGTCATTTATACTTGATTTTTTTTTTGACGAATGAAATGCTAGGGAGAGAGAGGTGGAGGGAGTGATTCCCTGTTTGCAGGGGACGTATTAAGCTGTGAACCCTAAACCCTATGTTGCTACTCGCGAGTACCTGCTTCTACTCGCGCCAGGACGCCACTCGAGTGTGAAAAACCACGAGTAGAACAACGAGTAGCATAAACTACTCGCAAGTACTCGAGTAATCAAATTACTCGCCCAGCGATAGTATTGATCGGGTGCTTCTTTCTTTTTCAGTATAATTGTTTGTATGTTTCTTTATTTCATTGTTTCTATTTATTTTTATGCTTAACTTACTTATTTCATTTAATTGGGTTTGACACCGACCGCTGTGTATCGGTAAAAGATACACCAATTGTGAACTGCAGTAGTTGCATGATTCATTTCTATTGGCCCTCTGAGCTCAGCCTTGTTGAGCATCGGACCATAGCATCGCCATTGAGTTATATCCATAACAATATACTTACATGTCCCCAAAAAAGTGTCTGTCTGACTTTTTTGAAATAACTACAATACCATGAGGTCACTTTTGAAAATTGTTGGTTGTGCAGACACTCCTAAGCTTTGGCCTCACTACACAAATTGTCACTTGATCACAACAACATTTTAAAACCCAAGCTTTAGCACAAAAGAAAATAAATTCAAGCCCAAACACGAACCCGTCCCAGGCCCAACTTAAACCAATACCTTGCCGCCCAATGCCGCCAAAACGTACAAAACTAAAACAAACTATACCCAAAATTACCAAAACTACATCCAAACAAACAGCCATAACCAAAACTATACAATCCCTAAGCCAAAACCAAAACCAACACCAAAACCTAACAAAAACAAAAACAAAAACAAAAACCAAAACCAACTTGAAAACCAAACCCAAAACCAAAACCCAAACCCAAACCTAAACTCAAACTCCAACTCAAACCAAAAACCAAAACCAAAAAACAAAAACCAAAACCAAAAACCAAAACCAAACTCAAAGCCAAAACAAAAACCAAACCCAGAATGCCTCCGCTCCCAGCCCAACCCCAACTATTCATGCAAATCTTTAAGCCTGAAGCAGAAGCAAACGTCTTCGAGCCCAACCAATATGGCATTTCACTCTCTCACGGTTCGGGTAAAAGTGATATCTAACAGGCGTAATGGATCGATTTGTTCGTCGGCACGGGCACTTTCCCGGTCAACGTATCCACTTGACTTCACCTACATAACGATAACATCACAGAACGGTCAGGGAGTGGATATTATCTTGAAAACAAAAAGCCGTTCAATTAAAGATGAACAGAAAATCATAGTACAACCTTGACAATGGTCAGCGCACTGCCATTTTCTTGATGGAAAGTCGCAATGGCAGGGGAATTCGGTGGAGAACGCAAGAATAAAAGACCAAGGTCGACGCACGTCCAACCTTGGTTAACCTTCAAGTCACTCTTAACAGATGGTTTGTTAGAGGGTCTGTTGAAGCTTTATGGTGATTAGTGACTATAGACAACAAAATACTCCTATGGGAGTTGCACATGCAGGAAAACACAATTGAAATTTGTACTGATTGCTCATCTTTAGTTACCGCTGCCATGAAAATATATATACAGAAATCTACACACAGTTAAGAGGAATTGCGACAAGGAGAATTTGGTATACGACTCGTCAAGGTGTCTAGAAAATATTTTGGCAGCGCTACGGGGGAGGGGGGGGGGGACATGGGGCCATCGGTCCTCCCGAGTTGTTTCCTTGCCCCCCCCCCCCCCCTAAAAAAAAGTCCCCCCCCAGTTTTCCCCCAACACTTAATCTACAAATATATTAAATTATGTTTATTTTCTTCGCTGTTAAGATTCATAACAAGTTGAAGATATAGAGTGAATCATCGGTTCTGATGTGGCACATTTTGGGACAATGAAAGCATTATAAACACTGGTACTTTGGTAGACAAAACACGCCACACATGCAGTCGTAGAACTTGTGCAACCAACGTCTCTGTACATTTGTTACACATTCGTTAAACACCATTCCGCGGTTTGATATATTTTCCATTCATAAAAAACGGCTGCACTTCTAAGTTGACCAATAGTGTCTTAATTCCGGACCATTGACTGCCCCCCAAACAAGAATACTTCCTTGCCCCCCCCCCCCTCCACTTTTAGAGTCTTGCGCCGATAAGCAGACACCTTTTGACTTTTAAATAAAAAAAAACCTGTTCTAACAAAATAATATCTACAGTTTTCATTTATCACTGAGGGCGTAGTCGCCGTGAAGTCACGTTGGACAGTTTACGGACCTTTTTCTGTGAACTTATTTGTACGAAGCTATCATAACCATGAAAGCATCTCTTTTTAGAGCTAGCTTGTCGCACAGAATAAAATAGACACAAGAACTGAAAGTTGACCTTAACCAAAAAAGTAATGAGCGCAGAATAAGAGAATGCCCAATCTTGCTATCAACTGCCAAAAATGGCAAGAAAAAGACCTTAAAATACGTACGGATACAAAAGCGGGCATTTCGTGAATCGCGTTGTAAAAGAATCGTCCAGTGCTATATTTCTGCATGTGACTAGTGCCATCATCCGCTTCCCTCACACTTCTCTTGACTATAAGAACTACCCGCACTTTGCACAAAAAAAGGCAATCAGAAATAGCTATAAAACAGGCAACCATGCATTTTAGGACCTTAGCGATGTTATTGCAAATCATGTCTCCCAATTTCATTCTGGCGTGCGAAGCCAGCATTTAAAATCAAAATAGATGCTACACTTAATATATGAGAAATATTATATAGAGATATCGATATTTCTTAAGAATATCTCTATATCTCTATTAAACTTCTCTGTTTCTTGTGGAGATGACTCTGTTTCAGTACAGAAATCTATGCTGACATAAATCTAGTCCCTATACATTTAGTAGGTTTATCTCAATTTCAGTATTAAATGTTAATTTTGCACGTTCGAATTTATGGAGATTATACATCTATCTGGAATAGCGATATTAAAGAAACGTCTTTCAATACCTAATGCACTCTCATCAAATACGTCCATTTTGTATACCGAGAACCAATCCATATCGATTTCAAACAGCCTCGTAATTTATTACTTCTGCTTGAACACCTTTCCCTGCACAGCTTGCATTTTCTTGTTGACAAGCACTTAATTATTGCTATGTGCAGTTATTGGAAATTTCCTCTCATTTTCCAGCATAGTGCTATTCTGTTGGTGACGTGCATGCATAGCGCAGCCATGATTGCTAAAATTCGTTTCGCAAGACGCAAGGGTCGTTCCATCATAGATTATTATTTGAAAAACAAAAAAAACACAAGTTGAACGTGCTAAAGGTGACAACTAACAGTATTTCGGCATGGAATGAGGAACATAAATTAGATGAAGATGATTCGGTATTATAGGTCTACCGTGTATTTTTACTCCCTGTATGAGCAGCTCATCTACGTTAGCAGTCAGCTTCATAATTTTGAAGTAATTCAAGGCATGTACGATCATTTGTTTTTCGGGCATTTTTTGTTCGTTTCCAATAATAACACCACTCAAAATCGAAAGAAGAATGCTCAAAACCTAACCGCTGGAAGTTTCAGATCAGCGGACATTACACTTTTAACAAAAAATTAAGTGAACAACCGTGCACAACCTTTTGATCGCGAGACACGATGTCGTCTGTATTTCTCTTTACCGAAAGAAAAATCAGTCAAGTTACGTATCGTTAGAAACCATACATCATTTTGTACTAAATGACAGCAAGCCAGACAGACGTAGACAGAGTCATTTCACGGGGTGTTTAGTATCAGTACAATCATCATCTTCAACCCAAGTAAGCTTTTTGATAATGATTCGGCAAATTACTTTTTGGGATAAATGCAAATGATATGCCTTTAATGAACGAAACGACAATTATTTTAAACCCTAGAACTGCGAACGAGAGATGTCACAATAGGCCATACAGTAAATACTTACCCGAATGCGAGGCTACCTGATGAAGGGACATCTGATGACATATTGCTTGATTCTGGCTGAGCGGGAAGATAGAAGGGCATGGAGAAGGTTACCATCCACACGTTGCCGCCTCCACAATCAAAGTACGGTTTGGTCCAATAGCCATCACTGAGACCCAACCTAGCCATGGACGTGGCGTTTCCAGAGAGACTTCGGTGAAAAGTGTAGTTTGGACTGAAGGACTCGTTCTGGAAGTTCAGAAATGGAATGTAAAACCAGTCCGTGGAGTTGGTGAGGTAGTTGTAGCCGATGGAAAGATCCTTGACCTCTGTGCCGTCAGATGCCCGGTAAGCGTAGGGGGAGAAGACCTCGTAATCACGGTAGAGAAGATAGTCGAAGGCGATGGCCGAGCCGAAGACGTTGGGGTTGTTATCAACGTTTGCCCTCACGATGGTGTAGTGAAGTTGCTCGTCCTGATCCCCTGAGCCCATGATTTGATCCCCGGTCCGTGAGAGCGATGTCAGTAGGTTGGCTGCCCGGATGGCCACGGCAGCTTCCGCCAACCATCTCTCCTTGTCGTACTCGAGATCCAGGGTGGGACCGAAGGAGCAGTTGCCCTCCCCCTGACTGGCGATCGCTTGGACGTACTCCAAGGCTTGTGTCACCGTGTTCATGTCCGGGCGGTCGCTACTTCGCACCACGGTCATCTGCAGACAGAAGACGGCGAGCCACAAGTACTGCGGCCGCCAGGTGTGAACGGTCATCCTCACTGTAGTCATGTTAGCAAGTCAACTCGAGTTAAAGTGCTTCCGACACCTAGCTAAGCCTGAGCATCTTGATTGTCGAATCGTTCCGCCCGACATCGTCACTTTCCCGCTCGTATGCATCCACCCTTATGCAAAACAGTGTTATTCAAGAGTTATTTGCATGATTACAGGATGTTGCGTGCACCAGCAAATGAAACAAACAATTCGGTCCATAAATCTTTACGGTGATAGGTGAATTCGGAGTGTCAATGTAGTGGGACGTACAGGCGTTGTACAGCTACATCAGGACGACGATCGTGTATCAAAATTGCTACATGTCGGTGTTTGTTGCCAACCTCACATATGGCACACACTGACGTGTGATGAGTACCAGCGCTGTCCTATAAACTGTAACGTTTTGCCGAGATGTGCTAAGTTTAGATGCACACCGAAAATGTTTACCTCGCACGGAAAATTAAAAAAGCCTACTTATGTTGTGCGCACAGACACACTAAAACACTAGGGAGCCGGCGGAGTATATTTGCATAGTATAATACTGCTGCAATATTAATAACCAGACAACCGGCGCTTACCCGGTCAGTAGCTTTAGTTCATACATGGACCTGGACAATTAAGGGTATTTTGTAAGTAGGCGGAGACGGTAGGACTAGGCAAGACGGACGGCATGCCCACACAGCTTTTTAATCAATTCGGTGCGCGCAAGGAAAGTGGTGGATAATTTATTATATCTATCAGAGTCCCATTACTCATACATGTGCGTCCCCCAGCCAGCAAAACATGTTGACATAATTAGTTCGCCGTAGTTCTATGCATGCATAATCATGGTATGAACATGCTTTGGTTAATTAATTCCATTGTGTTGCCAAGCCAGCAAGAATGCTTCTTAGGTATGGCGTTCCTGGCTTGGCAATACAATACTAGAAATTAATGAACCAACGCATGTTCAGACAATGTCGTGTGCACGTCTGATGACTTTGATTGTAAATAAGCTAACATTTGAAGCCACAAAATCGCATTTTGATAATGAAACTACTAACAAAATAGGTTGGCGTATCCTGGCAATTGGAACGATCATGTGCTACATTACTCAACATCTAAAAAAAAAACACATAAAAAAAGCCAACTTGAGGGTGAATTCAGTCCGTAACTGCCAAGGAAATTCCTCAAAACTATTGACCCATTTTCAGTTCTCAATTGCGCAACAATAAGTTATGAGAGATATTCCCTGTACATAATTTAAAGTTCTCTTCAACGTATTCGATTTTAGTTTTGCTCCTAACGCATTTCCAATTTGTTTGGTTTTATTTAAACCGAAACGCTACTTTTTTTGTTTACGATGTTTTTAAAAACCCTCTGAAAATAAGCATTTCTTATTGAATTATTGTCGGTCCGCAAATATTTCGATTTTATTAAATACTCCTATTATAGTAACTAAACGTGGGTGGATTGTTTCTGACGTGGGCTGAGCATTCGAAAGTGAGTAACCTTTGTATTTCTACAAAGATAGCAATCAATACATTTTTTTGCGGGAGGGGAACTCTAAATTAGCGAGGAGAGCAAACTTAAAGGGAAGATACAACATTTGTAAACATCACTAAACGAAATGATCAAATAATTACGAAATTCCTCACTAGATTGTTAGGGAATGACAGTGTAAAGCATCTTGTAAAATTGTGACTCCTCGTGTGCTGTCAATCTCAAGAAAAATTGTATTTTTCCAACGCTGGTCGGCCGACCAGCGTTGGAGAAAACTGGCTTTTTAAAAAAAAAATTGCTCCTAATTTTTCATAATTAGTTATTCCCCGTTTTCTTTGCAATTGGTTACACACCTGTGACGGGGTACAAGCCTGCTAGATCGATTCTCTGACCTTAAAATTTCCCAAAGTCATGATTGCTCCGTTTCATCTAACCCGGTCAGGGAACCAGACTACAAAAACACGATTGGTTCTCATGTTTTTTTCCAAGCATCTACAAGCCCAAAACGTGAAACAAGTCATTTCAACATTATTTGCTATAACATATTAATCCTCCAAATCCATCTATTTCCAAAAACTGCAGCAAAAGCAAATGTTGTACATTCCTTTTTAGGAAACCCTTACACCAATGAAATTCGTTAATCATAATTTTATGTCCATTTTTTTCTGGTTCATGATGGCCACGCGGAGTCCTCTTTGCATCTATCTCACCGACGTATACTCATTTACTGACTCAGTAACTGACTCCCTGACTTACCATCAATTGTTAGCCGGGCAGTGCTGTTGTATAGGATGACCCCGTAATGCTAACGAACGGGCTAAATTCAGCCACGGGATGAGCCTTCCTATATAGGTTTGCATTTTAGGGGTTAATCTTAAAGTTGTCTCCCCGTATTCTTTAGCATATTAATTTTTTTTTTTTTTTGCCTCACGTTCAATTTGAATGTTTTCTGTCAACGGATTGTTTTCTTATATGTTCCACCTTGTGAAAATATCCATTTAATTGGGGTCGCTTTTGCGCCCACAATGCAAAAAATTTAGGGCAAATTATTGTGTGGCTGCAAGTAATTGTAAATTATTTTGTACAGTATAGTCCCAGTGGCGTAAATCCGTGTCGACAACACAACAGTGCAGGGGATGAGGCATGCAAAATCCTGAAACCACACTGGAAGTTGCAAAATAATTCAGGGGGGGGGGGAGAGGCTTGACACAATTTGACACTAGGTGGCGTTGTTCATAATACAATCTTGTATGTATGTACTTTATTGATAATGTACATAAGGCCCAGTAAAAAAAAAAGTTCCGCTTCCAATATTATGTGCCACTTATAATGTATCAAAAATGCATATTTGCGGCCATAAACGTTTCATTTGCTCCACGAAAGCTATCACCACAACGATATTTTTGTTCTGCACAAAATTCTGGGGGATAATACAATGCCCCTCGTCAAAAAAAAGGGGGGAGGGGATATATCCCCCAACCTCTCGGTCTTTGCGCCCTTAATTGAATAGGCCTAATTATTCCAAAACTAAACGTTGGCGGACGAGCTTTCCTCGATGTCAGCGCAGTCGGCAACATATTTTTTATCTGGGTAAAAGTCAAAAATAGCACGGGGAGAGAAATGTTAACAAGCATCAAAGACGACATGCGATGAATACATCAGTCAGTCATAACCTCGAGGTACCGTTGCCTAACTTTGCGAGAGTTGTAGGTCAGCCGTTATTGTCTTTGGTGGCAATTAGTCATTCTATGCAACCGGTTCCTGCCAGATGCGTGTCCGTAAACAGTTGAACTTGCCTGGCAACAAGCAAGCACCATTGCCGATTCGCATAATATCGAGAAGTGCTTGGGTTGATGAGTGTACAAGAAAGCAGGTCACCAGACTACGAATGGGCCATCTACGGTTGGGTTGAAAAGAGGCTGAATTAGTTGCAGGCTTCGGCCACCCGAAAAGGCCCTATTGGTACTAACGTAATAGCTTATCAATATAGGCCCTATACAGAGTATTTCTGCGAAAGAGCAGAAACAGTGAAAAACTATTTTGATCACGAAACACGATTTCGTCCATAGCACAACTATGAGTCAATTGACTAGTCGTTGGCAATCACCTACATCTCTCGATTTCTTCTGAAATGAGAGAAGGACCGTGGGGATAATTTCACGAGGTGTTTAGTGCCTGTAGGCCCTACAATCTTTAATCCAATGTTCGTACTATCCAAAGCATATAGTGTTTCACTGGTTGACACCATTATATAGGTACCTATCTACAGGCCGTATCTTTTTTGCTCGCTCGCTGTACCAATAATTGAAGACAACAACCCACCAGCAAATCAGTCGATACTACTCTAAGATCATTAAACATGCCGGTATATGTACCAAAGTCGATACTATGTATCAGAGTCGATACTGTGATATAACGTACACTCTAAGAACATTAAACATGCAGGTATATAGAAATTTGCGAATTAAGCCACCGTGCCGTGATTATGCTGCTGCCTACTCGTTTTGCTTGCCCGCGTGGACTGCACCCCCAAGGACTGCACAGTCGGAGGTGTGAAGACACCTTCCCATTGAAAAAAAAAATACCGGAGGCAACTTACCCCGCTCCCCCCCCCCCCCCTCCCCCGCCCCCCGAAAATATTTACTCGGTGAAGAACACGGCACATTATTCATTTTCTAGACCTGAAGCCGTTTAATGTGACAGTCTGTGTCAAGTGGAGTTGGGCCTTTCTTTTTATGGCAAAGTAGGCCACTTAGACGAAGTCATGTGATTTAACATATAATCTTGAAGCGCTGTGACCTGCAGTGCAGAGCGATGGGCAACTTTTACGCATACGTTGTAAGCAGTAATCTTTCGGCATGCCCGGTCGGTGGAAAGCACCCAACAATCAACCGTTCCTTAAGTTCAGCTCAGCACAGTTACTCATTTATAACCAGCCCGTTCTATAATTAGCCACTTCCATGGGTAAAACCAGAAAACATTCCGAGAGCTTGTGAAGCTGTATATTTTCAATTACTGTTTGTGGGCGTGGCCATGAAACTGCTCGGTTAAATTTCGGGTGGAAGTGTGCATTTTGTATTGCAACACTTGTAACCTGTGGCCTGTAATAACATGAGCAATAGTTTTCTACTTAGGCCCACTTCAAATATCTGCCGTAAAATAAGAGGCGCTGCCGCAGTGGATATTTAAGAGGGGGGTGGGCAGAAATAAGATGTGGCTGACTGAATGACTAAAATAAATCATTGTATCTAATGGCATTAAACTTCCAAATGTTAGGATGATTTCGCATATTTTTAGTACAAGGCCACTGCAATAAAAAACAATGAACTTTGTCTTTTTGGGTTTTTTTACTCGAAATGAACACGATGAAAGATCGAGGCACGACCTAGTTTCTGTTTTGGTTGGCGATATTAGTAGAACTGCCGTCAACGGAGGGCGCTGTTCCCGTTGCGACGAGCGGCCATTTATTTGGCTGGTTGTCATCGTGGGGTTTTGTTACGCAGCTCGTAATCGTATTCGTAAGTAGGTCCATCCGAAACCTTTTCCCCTGTTTTTTTTTCCACGCATTACTAGATAAATTTAATAAGTATACAACAGTTTCAGACTATTGGGTGATTGTGTCGTTAATTACGTGCCCGGTTCCAAGTAGAGATCCACTTTGGACAAATTGGAACACGTCCATCATTAGACCCGTGAACGTGGCGTTGTATACAACGCCACGTTCTTGTTTCATTTCGAACCTGGCGAAATCGATCCGACATACATAATTCCGTATGGGTGTTGAGTACTCACCTAGAAATCTAAATTTGCCCGTCCGATTGTTTCGGCTGTGTAATTTCGACGAAATTTGCCCATCAGTAAAGACCCGTACGAACGTGCAGAAATTAGATTTTAACCTGACCCTGACAAACAACCCCGGACGCGTCTGAGTCGCTTGGACAGATTGACGGCTGTTTCATGTCGCAACCCCGAAAGGAAAAAACCCGCAGACGATTCGCCGCTCAGCTCATCTCGTGTGCACACACATGCGGGCGCACGTGCGACCGCGTGCGGTGCGGTGAGAGAGGAAAGGACTTGAAACGATGTCTGTTTTAGCTGCGACAGTAAACAGCCGTCGAATCATACGAAAATAAAACGCAATGCGCATGCGTCAGTTGGGAGAAAATGGCAGCTAGCAGTAGCGGACCGGGGCCAGAATTTTCCTCAATTTTCGTCAAATGCAAGTTTTGACGTACAAATAGAATTCAAGACAGCTTCATATGTGAGTACTTATTACATGGGCAAAATAACGTCCAGTGTGTGTAACGGAGGGAGTCAGAGGGACACGTTCGCCAGGTTCGAAATGACATTAGAACGTGGCGTAGTTTACAAGCCACGTTCACGGGTCTAGTCCATCATCTACTCCTAGAACTATGAGGCTCCACGTAGTGGGCTCCACTACGTGGAGCCTCATAGTTCTAGGAGTATCCATCATCATGTCCATGTCCATGACATCCTCTTAATTTTTACATTTTTTGTGCCTATTTATTACCGGCCATCGATCCCGAGCTAGCTTCTGGATTCTTCTTAAGTGAAATCACAAGTTGAGGTGAACACTGACGTGTTTATAAAAACTGGCTGGTAACTGACGTACTACTACTAGTATTGACTGTGTAATTCATTCCTTTTTTTGTAATTTTGAACAGTTTCTTGGGGTCCTTGTGTTTGCCTTGTGCACATTTTTAGAGAATTTTGTCAGCCATGTAAAAGTTCATAGACAAGGGCTAACAATGCTCAAAACGGAAAGATTTCCATATACGAAGTTCACTCAACACCCTGTGTACAAACCCTATGAGATTGGACTGAAAAATTCTAAGTGTTTTCTAAGAAAATGCTTGTATTTTCTCACTGCTCAAATTGACTTTCATGACATGAAATTGCTATCTGGGGGCTTGTTAGTCAATACAGAGGAAAATTAGTGAACTTCGCATATGGTAATCTTGCCCTCAAAACTGCTGTACATTTGCCCCTAAACTTCTTGATATACTCAAGCTCATAATGCAGATCAAAGAGTGAGCCGAATCGGTCCCAATTTTAATAATTAAATGCATTGATCTTGTACTTTTTGTAGTTCTAACCTGTTGTCGGTTGTACATACTCTGTATAGAATACTGAGGGAATTTCAAGACAGAAGACATCATGCCGCTAAAGAAAGGCAAGAAGAAGAAAGGTGGGGCAAAGAAGAAAGTGAACAAGGCAGAAAAGGCAAAGGTAACTGATTGAATGAAAATTTGGATATTTTAATAGCCGGATGCAGCTTTCTTTTAGTAAACGGTATAAAGCTGCAAAATTGTCGTCTTGACTTCGTATCCACAAGATGGGAATCAGACCACAATTTCGGACTTTACTTCCCTTTAAAATCCTGCAAAGATAAGAATTAGAAAAAGAAAATGTAATATTGTGCAAATAAATATAGTAGTCACCCTGAAAATGTCGGATGAGCGCGACAGGGGTATCGAACTCGTGATGTCTCACTTATATAGGACGCGCCATCTATTCTGCAACACGTGCTGCACGAACGATGGTGGTGATTGAATACATTTTAACCTGTGTACTCGTCTACATGTCAAAGAAGGTGCAGTAAGATTTCTCCAGCTTAATGTTTACTAAAAGAAAGCAGGATCTAGCATAATATCCTCGATAAAATAACAAACCTTGTGCGTAACCTTATAAAAGCATAAAATGCTTTTAGTATTCTTCTGACAGGAATTCAAAGTTTGTGTAGTCAGTCCATCACGTCTTAAAGTTTTACCTTCAACCTCCAACATTGGCTGGAATGACCCTCAGAATTTGTCCCTTATTTATAGGAGAAACTAGAAAAGGCATGTGATCTCATGACCTCACAGACTGACCTATACCGGAACTTTCTGGACCGGATGGACCGGTGGATCGTTGCCAACAAGCATAAGGCTGTGGAACTCTTCAAGAGATTTGACAGAAACGGGGATGGCGTGCTGACCTACGAGGAATTCAAGTCGGGTAATGTAGGGCTGGGTTGCTGGGCATTTTCACTAGTCCGCACGTTTTTCTTTTACAGAGTGTCTCAAAAACAACAATGTGCATACATGTAAAACGTGTATATCCTGAAGCAATCTTGTCAGTGTTTTTAATAAACAGATCTAATAATTTAACCTTAAACAGTTAATAAAATTAGACACAAATTGATACAGGTTTGCTTTCTAAATTTAAAGATTTATTTCTTCCTGTCCTTTCATCTTTGCCGTAGCCCAATAATGTTTGACTCGCCAGCTGGGCTACTTAGGGAATAGTTTGACTAGCCCGCCGCTGTTTTGACTAGCAGAAGTCGAACCCCGCGTAAGGATTGCTGCAGTCTTATTCTCCTTTCTTTGTTTGCTTGATTCAGGAATGCTGGACCTCGATGCACCTTGCAATGCCCTGGAGCTGCATATACTAGCCAAGAGATTGGACAGAGACAAGAACGAGACCATCGACTACGTGGAATTCTCTAAAGGGCTCAGCTTTGCCACTGAGTGAGTCCGCAGCACTCAATTTTGTTGAAGATTAAAGGATTCCCATAAATTGGGTTGTTTTTAACATTACTGACATTTTGAAAGGATTTTACACATTATCAGTGAGTGTATAGCAAATGTAGCAATCTTATACCTTGTCCGTATTTCCAGATTAAAATTCATACGCACACTTTTTCAATGGTTTGATGTTAGTGCGTATTACAGTTTTGTGAAACATTAAAAAATGCTTAGTGAATGAAACGTTTGCGGAAACACTTATGGGAATAAATTTCACAAACGAAAGAGAATGGTTCAGAAAAGAAGCAGAGATTTATACCTCTGGTTCTTTTCAGAACCACTCTCTTTAAACTCTGAGTTTATACCTCTGGTTCTTTTCTGAACCACTCTCTTTAAACTCTGAGTTTATACCTCTGGTTCTTTTCAGAACCACTCTCTTTAAACTCTGAGTTTATACCTCTGGTTCTTTTCAGAACCACTCTCTTTAACCTCTGAGTTTATACTTCTGGTTCTTTTCAGAACCACTCTCTTTAAACTCTGAGTTTATACCTCTGGTTCTTTTCAGAACCACTCTTTAGTTTGAGAAATGTATTCCCACATGGTGTTTCCGCAAAGCCTCAAATCTTACTGAAAATGCTTAGGTTTCTCAGCCAACAGACGTTGGCCCAGGCTTAGGTCATAGGTAACATAGGGTCAATGGTTGTCATTTTAAGAATTCTAGTTTGAAAAAATAGTTATAAACTACACTGTTTCTCAGATTTTCATCCCAAAGGGTGAAACATATTCGGACGTCATGGTCCGAAGATATTTTGTTACTAATGTGCTAATTTTCAAGTCGGCTCCAAATTGAGTATTTGTCGGACCAGTTTTCTGTTTGATTTTGCTCTGTGTTAACCGACTTGTGTGTGGCAAAACTTGTATTTGCAGTGACGAGGAGACTAAAGAAACTGAGGAGCGCCCTCTGTTGACAATAACCAAGGAGGTGCTGGAAGAGTGCCCGTGCTGTAAGCTTGGCTTATGGAAACCCACTGTGGAGAAATACCCTAAGTTAGTGCAAAGAAATCATCTTGACTTTTAGTCTTGGTTTCGTATTCCAATTCTGCAGTGCACATGTGCATATAATAAGAATGAACATTTTCACACCGGGGTAATACTATTAGTGGAGTGCTGTGGCCAGGGCACTGGATTCGTGGTCTGTGGGTAAAGCTGCAGGTTGTGGGTTCGAGTCCAGCCGGGGTCATGGTGCGTGTGCCCTTGAGCAAGGCACTTTGTCACTCATTGCTTCTCTCCACCCAGGAGTAAGTGGGTACCTGTGAGGGCAGAGATGGTTATTGTGATGGAATAAGCTTGCTTGCGCCTAACAGGCAGCATCCAGCTTTATACTCCCCAGGGAGCTGAGATGGTATTTGGAATGTTTAATTGGCCCAATGATCAGGGGTAATAATAATACTGTAAGCGCTGTGATTTAGTTTACTAATAAGAGCGTTCTTAAATGCCAACAAGTCTATGTTGGACTAGTGGTTATTTTATCTGCAAGAAAATTGATATCTTTTTTGCTTTTAAGTTTGAAGCATAAAAAAAGAAAACAGTGCATTCCTGGAAATTTGTACCAAGGAACTGACATTTCTTCATTGTCGTTAGTTGGCACTTAATGATCTTGCATACATGTTTATATGTTGAGTGCGATCGGTGGATCTGCGCAAAGGGCAGATCGCGCAGAAATGCACCTGGATGATTGGTCGATCCCATAAAGATCTCAGACTTCACTTCCCTTTTCAAAGCAATCCTCTATATCCGTATTAAAAAAAGAAAAGGTGATTGACAAATGGCGGTGCGATCGACCGATGGCGGCATGAGCTACCGATAGCGCAGTGCGATCGACCCATTGTGCACATTCACCGATCGGGCCCAACATAAAATGTGCACATGCACTTTGTGTAACTTCCTAATACAAAGCCTTTAAAGCCAGTTCACGCTTGATGCAAATGCTGAGTGTACATGATTTGCCATCATAAAACACTTGCATTGAAATATCCTGTCATTGAAATGTGTTAAACTTTCAATGCAAAACTCGCAGTGTGTAGACTCTTGTGGCATTATAAAATTGCAGTATGCATTCGTGCCAAGATTCCTCAATGGGCCATAGAACAAAATGAAAGCTGTTGACTTTTATTTAAATTTCCTCTACGTTAATTTACATTTATTGTATTGGCTTTGTAATTGTATGAAATAATATTGAAACTTGATTTGAAGTTGGCCTTCCTTTGTTTGACTTCCAGGTATGTGTACATCTATCTCAAGTTTGCCACCTTCGACACCCTGCGGTCCTACCCAGGCCACTTCAGCGTGATTGTTCACTCCCACCTGACCATCTACGGCCTGATGGAGATCATCAAGGAGCGCACTGACTTGGGCACCACCAAGCTCAGAGTCTTCTCAGACAAATCCCGGGATGCTTCCTGCCTGCTCCTACCTGACAAGACCTTGGAGCAGTGTGGCATCCAAGGCGGAACCCGCACCAAACCGGAGGAAACGGTGCTGTACTATGATTACTCCACTGAGTTCCATGACTGTCCCTTGCTTATGTCAGATTACTATTTCATGTCATAGCTCATTGCTCAGTGCCTTCTCAGTCCAAGAAAGTCTACTTCACTTGCTCTTGCCAGAAAAGCCCCAGACAAGTGTTGCATCCAAGATGGGACACACACCAAGCCAGAGGAGACAGTGCTGTACTCTACCGACTTCCACGACTGCCCCCGTCTCATTCCGATTACTACATCATGTCAAAGCTCATCGCTTCATGTCTCCTGAGACTGGTCCCAGAATGCATCCAGCCTGCTCCTGCCGCATAAGACCCTGGAACAGTGTGGCCTCCAGGGTAGCACATGCACCACATTAGAGGAAACAGTACTGTACTGTTATTACTCGACAGAGTTTCATGACTGTCGCTGCTCATGTCTGATCACAACTTTGTGTCATAGATCATTGCTTAGTGCCATCTCAAGTTCGGGGATGCTGTCTGCCTGCTCCTGCTAGGCAGTTCCTTGGAATAGTCCTGCATCAAGATTGAAATGCACCAAACTGGAGGAGACAGTGCTGTACTGTGATTACTCCGAGTTCTACGACTGTCCTCTGCTCATGTCGGATAATTCATGTACTGCTCATTGCCAGCAATGCATCACTGAAATGCACTTTCATCTTTGTGTCAGCAGGAGTTGCCTCATGCACTGCCTATATGGACTCCATGCAAGAACTATAGACTGCAAAGTGTAGCCCGAATGCTTACATGTATATACTTTGTGTATATGTACTTCGGTGGTTCATATGCACTATTTCATGATGCCTGCAACAGGGCCCTATCTGTTCAACACGTTTGATAGCTTCCCTCTCCTGGCTTGATTGCTGACAAAGACAGAAGGTTTAACTTTGATAGACTTGCAATTTAATTCTTTAGCATACTGCGGCAGAACATAAAATACTCCGGCAGAACATAAAATAGAAGGTTTGGGTATTTTACATGATAGTGGTTTTACTCCAAATACTCCGGGGGGAGGGGGGGGGGTCTTTATATTCATCCTCGGCTGCTAGAATAAGGCCTTTGCCTCCTAGGTTTTAAAAGTGTTGCAGCGTTTTAGACGAGTCCTTTTTTCCAAGTACCGGGTACTGCCGAGTACTAAGGTTGCTGAGTACGAGTAGAGTTCTTCCGAGTAGAAGTACAGGTCTCCGAGTACAAGTAGTTGTACATACGAGTACGAGTACTCTAAAAAAGTACTTGAGTAGTACTCGAGTACGAATACCGAGTACAAGATTACAGTCCTCTGGTAATATTTTGACTTAAACTGTGACCAAGTCATTAACCCATTTTTTTGGGTGGATACTCACTGAAAATGATTGAAAAGTACCCAAATATTAAGTTGAATTGAATATCGCCATGGGTTAAATAGTTAAAAAGAACACTATGCCGTGTAAATCCCGTACTAAATACGGCTATTGCAAGGGATACCTCTGAATCTATTTTAAGAGTAGATAGCCCGGATTGGACTACATGTGTGTGAGTAGCCACCATTGAAGAGCATGGAGTCAGAGAGTTTTATATTTTTTAATCAAGTATGCAATGTTGTATATGATATTTTAATGTTTTTGTACTGGAACTTCTTGGGTTTTTTTTTACATGTGTACATAGCCTGAAACTGTGAATAAAGGGAAGATGTTAATTTTTCGAATTAAGTAATTCATTTAATGTTCATCTTTTTTTATCACTTTTAAAAAAAAATTAAATTGCGTGAGAATTGCCCATCCCATGGGACCTCGAGGTCACGTATACACTAAACGACTGAATGAGAGTCGTGTCCCAATTGGTTAATCAGAGATTGTACTGGAGGCGGGCAATGGACCGATCTAGTAAGCACCGCCCCACGGTGTTTTGACCAATCACAGCCGTGATTTATGTCCGACGTACGTGCACTAAAGTCCGACATGCGTGCACGCGCGTATGATGCGCGCGGCAGGAAAATGCAGTGTGGCATTGGAGAGGAGCACGTGTTAATATGAAACGGCGATTTTGGAATCTGTATGTAGTCCCCTCGCTGTTGCAGAATATGGAGGCCTGGTGTGCAAACTGGTATAAAGTCATGAAACTTGGCCCAGATGGTATGCATGACGAACAACACCAGGTTCACTTCGTCCCGACTCATTAATTAGGCTAACTAACCAAGTTGTGGCCCAACCCATCAAAATGAGAATACAAGGCATCAGAACCATTTATTTATTAACTATAAGAACTCATATAAAATGAGAAAACAAGGCATCAGAACTATTTATTTATTAATTAGAACTCATATAAAATGAGAATACAAGGCATCAGAACTATATTTCAGACTTTTTTTTAACAAAATGTATTTTTTTTTTTAAATTTGACAGGTTAATTGTTACGCAGCTTACTTAAGATTGCGAGCAATTTCGTTGACACACACACACACAAAACCCCAAGCACAACCAAACGATCCTATATTACCTTTATTACCTTTCAGCCACTAATTAATTTAATATGGGATATATATATGCAAACAATGGCAGCCATTTCGACCCCAAGTTTCGACCCGAAATAAGTCTATCCTATACTACGTTTAAGCCACTCATTAGAGGGAATATACATCATTTGCTTTTGCTGTAATTTTCAGAAATGGATGGAATTTGGGGGTTGGAAATTTATAGCAAATACAGTTACAAGTTGAGGTTTTGGGTTCGAAAATGCTATAAAACCAAGAAAAACAATAATTTTCCTGTAGTCTGGTTCCCTGACTCCATATAAGAAGAAACAGCAGTTTACATACACTGGGGAATTGTAAGGTCGGGGAACCAGTCTAGCTGGCTCGTACCCGTTCATAGGTTTGTAATCGATTGCAAACAAGTGCGATTGTCAATTGGGGCCACTATTTGAAAAAAAGCCAGTTTTTTCCAACGCTGATCGGCCGATCAGCGTTGGAAATTGATACAAAAATACCACTTTTCTTGAAAATGACAGTTTACCAGGTGCCATGATTTTACAGGATGCTTTACACTGTCATTCACTAACAGTCCAGCAAGGTATTTCAAAATGATTTGGTAGTTTTATTTTTTGATGTTTGCAAATGTTGTATTTTCCCTTTAAAATAATAGGATAAACTTGCAATTTTTTTGTATCTTTCAAGACCAGTACAATCCGGACCTAAACGTAAAATATGCAAAAACACAGCAAACAAAGAAGAACAGATTGAACGTATTAAGAATGGTAAACAATGTTGCGGCCATCACGATCTTTTCCTGTTCAAATCAACGAAACCAAAACGAGGCTGGAAGGAAAGATAATCTGGATACTTTTTGCACAAAAACATCACTCAGTACTATTATTGGATACAGGGAACATGACTGAAATGATGGTAGCACGATAAAGGTACATGTATATTTAATAAGCGAACGTAAAGCAAAAAGACACATAAAGCCAGCACTACACTCAAACTTGCATCAATGATCTTCAATCACTCACTTAAGGAAAGAGAGAAAGCCTTGAGAGGCAATAATAGACCCTAAATCCACATGCGCCTGGTGTTAAAAAAGAAGACTTCGGTTTGTAGACTATTTGTATAGTAATTGTTTTTTAAACTGAAGAAAAACCTACCTTAGAATAACTTGCTCATGCACCGGCGAATTGCAGCTTTCAAGATCTTAGACTACAATGCCGCATTAAAAAATGCAGTATTTTCCAAAATACATGTGTAAACATTATTCTAACGAACTGACACTTTTGCGGATGCGTCTGTACCACAATAACAGGAGGGGGAACCTGAAAACATACCTAGCGTGACTATAATAAACTGTTGACGGGTTGCAATGGAGTTCTAAACTATAGACTTTCAAGTTATTTGTTTTGTTTATACACCGCAAACAAACGCTAAACAACCTATTTCAGTGAAGCCTTTATAAAGGCTTAAAGCACAGATCATAAGTAAATGTCTGGTAAAATCATACACCATTTTTGAAAATCCATTACTTAGCGCATGTCGCATGATGAAACACTCAGGTTTAGCACGAACTAAACCCTAAGTCTACTCGAAGATCGATTGTCTTCAATTATTACTTCAGTTAGATTTGTAAGAGTACATGTACACTACTATATATCTATGTAAAAATGCTTGATTGATTAGCAATCAATGTGTTTGAGTTATTGACATGGTTGGGCAATGCCTTTAAGATTTCCCATTGATTTGCTGCAGACGGATATACAGCGGGATGACGGGTTTAGAGACAACGGTCATGTTGGCAACCGGTGCTGGGTCTCCCGGCACCAGGCTGAGACGGAACCGCCTCAGGATCCTAGCCACGAATACTTTGATCTTGTTCAGTGCGAACTGCTGCCCGATGCAGTTCCTGCTCCCGGCAGAGAACGAAAGGAAGGCAAAGGGATCCATCTTGGCGAGGTTCTCCGGCAGGAACCGAGATGGCTTGAACTCCATATGGTCTTCTCCCCAGACGCTCGGGTTGTGATGAAGCTGGTGAATAGATATACCTAGCATGGTTCCAACGGGGAGTGTAACGCCGTCTATAGTGTACGGAGCAGTCAGGACGCGACTTACCAATGGACCAGCTGTCATCATTCGCATGGACTCCTTCATGACCAGGGTCGTGTACGCCATGCGATTTAGGTCCTTGCTGTAGTGAAACAAACCACATAATATGCATCACATGTCATATCTTGAGACAGGGGTACAATTTATTACAAATATCTTCATACAGTACACTTCGATCACTGCGAGCTATAGTGGTAGATGTCGAATCCAGAGCGTTGATAATACTGCAGAATATGGGTTCGGGCTCGGCATGTGCGTCTATCGGTTCAGGTGCCATTGTTGCTTCCCTCCTTACATTGCCAAAATGATTAACCGTGTCACATGAGGGCAGAGATGATTATTGCTTTTGAATAGCCATTTGCGCTAAAATGCTAGCATGTGGACCTCAGGGAGCTGAGATGTATTTAGGAATGCTTCAAGTTCAATGGGTTTGTAGGCAGGTATCGTTGATGATGAAGCGCATTGTGCAGCTTTACAGATAAACCTCATTCCGTGGGAGTTACCGGAAGAATGATAAAAATTGCTTACGTGATAATTCTGTCCGAGTCTCTATCACCCAGTATCTCGTCTACCTCTTCCCTTATTTTCGTTTGGTGCTCAGGGTACTTAGCCAGATTGTACAGCAGCCACGTCATGGAAGTTGCCGTGGTCTCGTGGCCAGCGAACATGAAAGTGTTGACTTCATCCGCCATTTCCTCCACGGTGAAGCCGTTGCCGTCTTCATCTTTGGCCATGAGAAGCGTGTCTAGGAAATCGCGGGGTGTGGTAAGGGGATCACCTGCTTCTATCTGTATAAAGAGTGGAGCAAGAACGATTGCCATTATTATGTTTCTACAAAATTAGACAACGAGAGCAAACGTTACAGACGTCAATTAACATGTGACAACATCGACAAGTACGACAACACCATCAGCGATTGACAGTTGCTCAAGGGAGATAAGGCACCTTTACTTATAGCAAGCAGCACTACAACTAACATGTTCGTCTATGTCAACATTATTTCAAACTCAAGGGCGCTAAATTCCCCTTTTTAAAATCCCACTGGCCCTCATAATTTAGGTAGAGATAAATGTTGTACTGTTATTACGTTGACCTTTAAATTTGCAGTTGTACCTTATCGGTTATTTCTTTCTTCCTGTCTTGGATCCCACGTTTGGCGATTTTGCGGAGGTACTCGAAGGCTTTCTTATACTTTGGGTAACCGGAACTAAGTCGGAAAATCCAAGGGACAGTAAGCAATTTGTTGTGGAACATGCGTTCCTGGATAAACCACGTCATGGTATCACATGCAGACAGAACATCAATCCCATCCTCTTTAGGGAGAGCCTGAACCTGCAATGACGTGAAAGCATGACAGAACTTTGCTATTTAGACACTGATTTTATTATGATTATTTTATTTACCAAAGAGACTACCTATATTTTTTTGGCTTTCTGTCGAACATCAGGTGTACTTTCGGAGTAACGGGCAACCTCTGTGCCTCATCTTTGTAGCCTTTCATCTTTAGAGCTTCAGCTGTGAAATAGGCGATTTTGGTTTTAAAAAAAGTGTTTTGTTTCTTCCTGTTTTTGAGTGCGTCAGGCAATTCCTGCTCTGTTTGTATTGACGGAAGGCTTGCTCAGTATTTAAAGTTACAAGGACTTACCTGACAATCCGACTTGTAAGAGAAGGCAGTTCTTAGGATGACATCAAAGGTACAAAGGACAAGCTCATGATTGACGTCTATGGGTTTGCCCTGGGCAGCGAGTTGGTCCATCTTCCCAATAAGCACCTCAACGCAGTCGTTAAACACGGGAGTGTAGGTACGCAGGACGTCCAAGTGGAACGAGTGGGTCAGGAGACGGCGGTTCCTCTTCCATTTAGCACTTTTGGATCTCACAAGCCCATCACCAACCCAGTCAGCAAAGAGGTCGTAGAAGGCGGATTTCGTGTTGGCTACAGCTCCTGTCAGTAGCGGCTTGATGGTGTCCGGATGGACTAGCACTGGCAGAGGAAGCACTCCCTGCCACAAGGTGAAGACACGAGGGAACGCCTTCACGGTGTCCAGCAGCCACTTATAGCCGGGGTCAAAAGGACCCTGCTTTTGGTGCCCGAAAAGCCAGTGCGCTCCTGGTGGACAAGGCAGCTTCCTTATGGCACCCCGCTCACTCAAGATCTTATTTAGTGATGCCAGAAGCTTCCATAAGAAAGCAGTGACAAATAAAATGCCAAATACTTGCCAAATCATCTCGGCGCTTTTTCCTCAGAAAATATGTCAGAGCAGTGTTATGTTTACTCGTTGTCCAAGCGGTGGTGATACTGCACAATTTGAAAATTTTCTGGTCTTTTTATACACACACACACAGTCTGGGTCTGACGTCAGTGCTTATCAGGAGGCAGTAGTCCTACCCAAAGTACAATATCATTTCCCCCCGCAAATCAGTACAAGCACAATGGACTGCCAAGCTAGCGACCTAGCTACCTTGACCTCTGGGTTATGTCTATATAATTCTATCTGTCACTCAAATCGAAGGTTTTGTTCTTCTTCATTCTCCCCCTGTATCAGCAAAGGTGCTTGTTGCATTAGGTGCTATTGGAAGTTGATCATTGATCCCGCTGAGTCATAACACCGCTTGATGTTTAAAGATTTTCTGGGGTTAAGAACCTTCCGAGGGTGTAAGACCTTCCGAGAGTGAGACCTGAACGGATATAAACCCCCTACGGTTGAGATCTTCCAAGGTTAGGAGACCTTCTGAAGCATTCTATGGTGAAACGCGCGATACCTCAAAGGGGCAGGGACCTTTTTGGGATATCTGAAGATAGGTGACAGACCTTTTCGGTTACAGACCTTTTAGTGTCATCATAAGACCTTTTGATACCTTTAAGGGTTACGACACATTTTTAATGCTATACGACTCATGAGGTTGAAATACCTTTTTCGAGACTTTTAAGATCTATGGGGTTTTAACTCCTACACAGTATGCAATATCCGTCTGTGTTTGTAAGACACCCTGGTCAATGCAAATTGCACAGAAGTTTTAAGACAATTTTTTGATATCTTTTATGGGATATGGAACCCATATAGACATCGCCAGGTAGTAGTTTATGACCTCCATTAGGCACAGGGGCGGCGGAACGCTTTTCAAACGGGGGGGGGGGGGAGACACCAAAAAGGGGCACTTATCCAGAAAAGGGGGCACCTTCCGTTGATGTGAAAGTGAGAGCCCTTCGGCCTCCGCAATGGCGGATCCAGAACCCATTTTTTTTTTGGGGGGGGGGGTCGGACCAAAAAATCAGGGCCCCAAAAAAGTGGGTCCACAAATTCACGGCGTGGGGTTCGGGGCCCGCTTAAGGGCTCCGGGAACAAATAGTTTCCAGATGCTCTGTGGTGCTATCTTAGGCAATTTCTGACGACTTTAACCAATTTTTTTTCAGGAAAAGATTGTGGTGTACATAATGGCCGCCTTGTTTGTGACATCACTATATTTTTTTGGGGGGGGGGGGGAAACATGGCCACGTTAACACATTAAAGATAGTGGATTGCTCTTCTATTCAGAGTGTCTACCGACTTGCCTTAAAATTAGGCCCGGATTGAGTGTGTCGTAGGCCCTGGCACCAGTGTTCCGTAGGCCCTCTGCCCTATAGGCTCCGGCACCAAATCCATGTTGATGATATTAATGAATAGAAAGCACTGTACAAGTCAAGCCTGGCGAAACTAGTATAGGTCCTAGCTCTAAAGGCCTAATATTTCGTTCCCTCGAAATAATCATTTCGAGGGAACAAAATTTTTTCCACCCTGTCCCCTGACGGGCTTCGTATGATACTGAAAAGTCTTCTACAAAATAATTATGCATGTACCGGTTTAAGTGGTTGAAAAAGTGATTGTTTCTATTGATTTCCACTGTGTGAGGTTCCATTAAAAGGCCTTTTACGTTATAATAGTAGCTCTGGCGACTTGTGCCTCATTTTGTTGGGTTGGGATGCTTAGTATACAGACGCAAGTGCAATTTAGATTTATGCATATTACTTTAATTCTTCAATTCAATGAGTTTTCAATTAAACATCTGTTATCATTTGCATGTACCTATAGCTTGAATACACAAATGGGGTACAGGATCCCACCATCCTTATTTCCGTTGAGAAACGCCCCCCCCCCCCGCCCCCCGCGGAAAACAAAGAAAATAGAAGGAAGCGCTATACAACTTTAAGGAGCTAAACCCGATACACGGGTGAATTATACAATTGAATAACCTGTTCAAACCAATCACGATACAATTAAGGAATAAAGAAGTTTTTTTTTTAAATTTAAATGAACTAGGTTAAATCTCCAAAAAAAAGAAGTCAAAAACGTTTGCACCACAAACGCATACGAGGCTTGTCTGTGGCTGACAGTGAAAAGGCAAATTCTTTTTGGATGGGGAGATGAGTCAAAGTCTCCGCCTAATCTAGTCAAGAAAATGTAAAGCGCAGTGGTGTGAAGGGAGAGGGACGGAGTGCAAGAGACTGTGCCTCACCAAATGAAGTGCCCCAAAGTCTTCCCAACCAATCGGAAGAAAAGTTATGTCATATTCAAAAGGACAGTATTCCCTAACACTAATAATTCCATGGCCAAAAAAAATATACATGTGCAAAGTAGTATAATCCTATTCGGCTTTCAAACTGCGCATGCGTGCAACAAGGCTGACTATTTTGACATCGTCGTATAAGCCCAGCATATATAAACAGCTCAATGGGAGGAGTGGTAACCTAAACAGTATCCACAATTCTTATCAAGTAATTTGGAAGAAATTTTGCCAGCAAAAAAAATCGAGCAATCAAAAACATGGGTGTTCCGGTGTTGTCAAGAATTTTCGAAATTTTGAATAAGGTAGAATTTAACGTTCATTCGTACCCGCTCTGATTTTGCACGCCACGGCAAATAGTTTACCCCAAAAGTAAAATCATCAATCATGATGTAAACACGCGCAGTTGAAATACCTTTACTCCCAACACAATTATATTAGTTTTCCACTTAACCCTTAATGTCTTAAAATTCAAGCAATGTCATTTGTCATAAAAGGGACATGACGTTTTACGCAAGTTAATTTTTTTAATAACAAGCAGGCTTAGGCTAATTATAATAAGAAAACACGGTGAACAAAATCGGTGTCATGGTAATGTGCAATTTAGACTGCTGCGCGAAAAAAAAATGAGATTGAACATTACTGCAATTGGGTCTCAATATTCGCCGTCATAGTAATAACACGTCACGTCGTGGTTCACGCTTCATGCGTGGCAACTCGATCTGGGTCGATCACAAAATGGCTTTTAGTAATTAATGGTATAATTTCACAATCTGGTCCCTGAAATTATGTTAAAACAGGTGTACTGCGTCGGATTATTTTGACTCCCGAAGCACAAATGCCAGAATGGAAACTGACGGCTCATGGCACTCAGTTTACAACAGGAAAACATAGGTCCGCTTTGCCACGAAAATGATGAGCGAGTTGCCACGCTCAATTTCTAGTGACGACTGAGCAGAGTGATGTCAGTGCTACGACGGCGAATTCATGGAATAAATTTTCGATGGTTAACGTCTACGATTGATGAGAGTCCTGATTTTACACAGCGTCCACATTTCACTATATGTCACCAATAAGGTCCACGGATCGGTGCAGAAGCCATCTAAGCGCCGGTACCGTATGCAGCTCCGCTGGCTTTTTCCAATATTGCCTTCACTCTGTCATAACGAAGTTCATCAAGTTCATCCGCCAAGATCTCTTTTCCAAATTGCTGATAAAATACAACCAAAGTTAAGAATGTCAGTAAACGCGCAAATTTTAACAGGGTCAACATTGAAGAAATATCACCGGAATCGCCCAATATACAAATCGATACATGTAAAGTTCCAATCGGGTAGATATTCATTGAGGTATAGCCAATTAAAAACAAATACCGCTGTTTCATTTTGTCCTCGGCGACTGAAAGAGGCTACCATGCAAGAATATAAATGTATATAGAGGGCAAAGGCAGAGCAGCACAGTAAACATCTAAGAAGTTAACCAATCAGTCTTTTTCAGGAAAACCATTTCTTCCAAACAGATAAAATACCACTGTTGCAAAACAAATACCGATAAAAAAACAAATAAATAACGATTAAAACATTAAAGAAAGCAAAACTACCTTCACACCAAATCCATTACACGTTCCTAACAAATGACATCAAAGATCGTAGTTGGGTGGGAAGAAGGGGCTAGTGTTGACAGATAGGTTTTTGATAAGCAGTAATGATCAAAGTTGATTTTAAGGCATCATATTCAAAATAAACTGCAATGTTGGCTGAAATTGAATAAAATATTGGCTGAAAATCAAATTTCTGATAAACCGGCACATTAGTTACATATTTTCATGCCAAAGATACACATAAGTACTTCGTGAATGGTCTTCTAATGATACCTGACCCTCAAAACATGGGTTTAGTCACCTTACTTGTAGTTAGTTATGCGCTATATTGGCCGAGATATCGATATGCCAAAAACATGACTTTCCGCTATTTGCGGCACTAATTTGCATATTCCTATGCCACAGACACATGTGGTCACTTCCAGAATAGTTTTATTGTGAACTCTGACCTTGAAAGCATGGGTTAAGACACCTAATTCGCTCAGTTATCTGCAATATTGGCTGAGATTTGTCGGTAATGGCGGCACTAATCTGCATAAAAACAGTACGTGGGACATCGTTTTGAATTTTTTAACATAGCAAATCGTGTTCTACGCACGCATTTTTTCTGATCTAAAGACGTCTATTAGAAGTTGATTTCCGAGAGTGCACGATATAATTACCCTTCTTCCAACTAAACTATCGTGGACAGATTGAAAAATTGGCACTTATTTAAATTGGCCATAAATTAATGAATTTGACCCGATTGGAAAGATTTTGCCCTCTACCTCTGTTTGGATATATGCGATGTATTTTTTAAAGCTGTGGAAAGAGGGGTTTTTGAGGGTTCGGGTTTTTGGGGGAAACCATGTAGGTGAGGACTACTCCATTTTACAACATCTTGTGAAGCGCATGCCACGCGAAGGCTTTGCGTCTAGCGTTGTTCAGCAAATTTAATCCGATTACGTTCAGTGACGCTAAAACTGAGCTCTGAAATCAATGCACCCTAGAAACATGGCTTTTTAAAACTCTGTTTTCAGAAAAATATGCTCAGTAGGATTAATGTGTTAAAATTATAACGGAAGAAGAAGTTCTAAACTTCACGCCAGTTTAAAAAAAACGCCCTTTTATTATTGATGTCGAAACGTCAATGCTGGTCACTGGTAAAGCTGACCTAAAAATCGTGCAAAAATCGTTCAAAAAGGTCCCCAAATCATTTAACTTATCTCAATTCTAGGAATCTTCACAAGTTGTTATTTCACGAGTAGTGGAACACTAATATCATAGTAAATTCCGAATTTCAGCTCAATCTGTTTCGCAAACGCTTTAGTGTTACACCTTGAACTATCTCAAAGGCATATTTCGCTGGACTACAAATTTCTGCCGACAAAAACAACGTGTTTTTTTTTAGTTTGCCGATTTTGCCACAACAGTGACGAGGCACATTATTGATTGGCATATTAGCGTGACTGTGCGTTACTACGCGTGGGTCTCGGTATTGACCAATGGAAGCTGTGGAAAAGAGAGATATTTATTAAATAATACTTTGCGAAAGAGGCGATAATTAATTTTTTTTCTCCAATATTCATAGAAAAATACTGAACGAATCAAAACGATATTTAGCACATAATTATAGTTGCATCAATTTAAGGGAAACAAACCCTGAAAGTTACATGAAGAAACGTCTTCCAAAGAACTTCAAAGAATTCGCCTGCGAACATCAACGGGCTGTGTGCATGTTCTTTCATTCGAAATAAATTTATTATCCGTCACCTTTCTAGAGGTTACGTATGGAAATCAGCCTTCGCAACCACATAGATGAAAGGGCTGATCCGCGTCAACAGGTAACAAACTATCTAGGGGTGCCAGCCAGTAAATCGGTCCGAAATTGCCTACGCCGGCCAAACTCCGATTCGCATGCCCTCAATTCTTCAGTATTTGAGCATATTGTGGGCCATGAACTTGAGGGTTTGTAAAAAAAAAAAAAAAGGGTGGAAGCCGTGCACAGACTGTAAGCGTGTATTTCTGTGAAATTTGGGCCCTTTATTTTGCAATGGAGTGTAGGCACTGTTTTTCAAAATGGGATGGGCTTCAGGACTATTTTCAAGGGGTGATTACTTCGGATGGAAATTTCTCCCAAAAGTCATCAGACTATGCCCTAAAAAAATGAAAAAATAATCAAAATTATGAAATAAGCTTTAACTTGATGTGTGTCTCGAATTTCTGAACTGGGGGGTATTTGGCATTTAGCATTGGGGTCTGTGGCAATTTATTTACTAGTCTGCACACCCCAGTGAATGAGAACGCGATGACCCCAGGTCATTAGGTAAATAAAATTCTCCGATGAGAGCTCAGAGAAAAAGTAACAACGACACTGGCTAATATCTATGCTATAAGAAGAAAAAAGCATTAAGAACTGCACGAAACCTCATTTCGAAACACTCACGGTGGTTATTGCCTTCACAAAGGCCTTGTCAGTGGAAACTCTGGCTTTCTTGAGAGGTGACACGGATGGTCCTATCCAAGTGATGAAAGCAAACTTAGCTCGTGGGTTCATCTCATCACCCGTCTCAACGCGTACATATCCATATACACGGTCATCACCTGAAAATTAACAATATACATGTAGATGTTCTTTGAGAGAAAACAAGGTGCTATATGGCCACACTTAACATAAGTGCAAATAATTGCTGCCTTTTCGAGGGAAGACATACGCTACCCTAAACCCCCAACATTGATCACACTTGATTTCACTTCTCTGTCCCAACTTTTCAGAAATGACAATATTGGTTAAGCACAGGTACATGTATAGTAGTCTGGTTCCCAGACCAAAAGATTCTGACTATTCCTGATGAAACTTAGGTCCGGTAGCCTCCGGTAATACATTGTATTACAATTTACGTCACGTGACTAAAACGGGAGGAATTCCTCCTTTTTCCGAAAATATCCGAAGTTTGCCGAAGTCGTTTCGTCGACAATCGGATCGCGCCCAAGTATTTCCGAATATATAATATAGGTTTAATTAACTGCTAATTGCTTGTTAATTTTATTTTAAATGAGTTGATAATTAATATCGTTGCTTTCATTTAGAAAACTTGAAAATTCAACGACGATTTTGTGCATCAAATATACTCGGATCGTATGGGCGATTTTCCAAAACTCGGTCTTCATTCGGCTCCGCCTGCTAACAGTGCTATTTGGGTGCCTTATTTTGAAGATTCCAGATCATCTTTAGTCAATGTTGTCTATTACAGAAACATCAAACTGTATCATCATAACTGTATGATATTACGAAGCAAGTGATGTATTTAAAATTTGATCAGAACTAGAAAAGCTACAAGCGATAAAGCGAAATCGGAAACGAAGCCGAAATTTTGAAAAAAGGGCCATCAGTGTCGTCATTTTTATTTTTAGCCACGGAGGCTGCCTGACCTAAGATTCATCAGCAGGAATAGTCAGAATCTTTTGGTCTGGGAACCAGACTACATGTATAGGTCATTTCAAAGAAGAAAATTGTAAATGTAAATGGAACTGCGCCACCGCATCCCAGCACTCCAAGCCCTACCAGATTTTAAAATATCCGATTGAATAATAAAAAACTAATGTTTGCAACATTCCTGGGTCATGTGAGGTCCGACATTGTTTGTATTCGTAACTTTTTTGATAGACGTTATTATGTTTTGAACACACACCTCAAAACCTTCGCCAAATCGTGGACCCTACTGTGCTCTGTTGTTCAAGGTCCACTGTTTGAATGTGCATACATATGGATGCGTGTCAAAGATTTATAGGAAAGTAAAAAAAGGACACAATAAAGGTCCTCTAACAAGGATTTTTTTTTCAGATTAAATTTAAGGGCCTTATAACGAAAATAAAGCTTTTCGGGCAAAAAGTAAGGATGACCCCAATCAATGGCGAAAGCATCGTAATAATTTGTTCAAAATAACCAATCACGAGGCAGTTGCTAGGTACAAGAAAAGAGTGCGCGCGCATAATACTTTCTCCACTGAATAAAGAAGGGGGGCTCGAGGGTTTACAAGGATCACGTGTCCGGATTAAGAACATGACGTACCTCCACATAGTGCCAAGAAGTCGGCGTAGTCACTTCCGGTAATGGGGCTGGCAAGTTGTCTCCCGTCATACTTTAAAGCAAACCTGTGGGAAAAAAAACACACACATTATGGTAGATTCCGTTAAAGGGAAAAGAACACAAAATTCATCACCGACACCACGAAGTAACACTCCACGTGTTAAACCATAATTTTTTTTCGATTTTCAGAATTTTACATTTTTCAACATTATTCATCAAGGCCTACCATTTCACCAAGTTTCAAAGTTTAAAGAGCTTTACTTTAATAATTACGCTAAGGCCAAAAACAAAAAAGTCTCCGGTTTCTAGTATGCGCGCGCGTCGCCGTAGCCATGCGCGTCGGCAAAATGAAAAAGGTTTTTTTTCAATGAAAGATGATGTCTCAAAACCGCCCAACTCACTGGTTTGACTGGAATCCTGCTGCTGCACAATTTTAACGTGTTTTTAGATGGGGTTATGATCGAGAATAAGCTTTATGTGGCCTCTCTGGACTCCCATTATATTTGCACTTAGTTTAGTCGGGCACCATTTGCAGTCATCAGCCGACATTTGAAGCAAAAAAATCAAGTAAAAAAAAAAAAAAAAGCGCGTCGCCGCACCACTTTTTGGGCAAGCTCCATACCAGAAACCGGAGACTTTTTTGTGTGGCCTAATTGTCTATGGCAACTCTTGCGCAAAAGTAACAATTTTCGTTTTCACAAAGTAACACTCAAGTTCCATTTACCATTGCAATGCATGGCGCACACTATGCTCATTAATGTGAGCAAAAACGTTTTCACGAAGTAACACTCTCCTTGTATGAGCGCGCTCGCTGACCTGAACTTGCATTTTCCTCGTGTTATATACATTGACCATTTTTCTCTTATTTCTTGTTGATTTAATACACAAACGAGTAAAAAAAAAGATTAAAAAAAATCAATTCATCAAGTGTTCACAACGAGAAACCCAATTGAAAATACTCTGCCGTTTTGCCGCAAAGTGTCGTTTTTGGAAGGCGTTCAACTTTAGATGCCGTTTTCTCCGATTGCTAGTTTTTACTGGTATGTACGTGGGTGTTACTTCGTGGTGTTGCTGACGAAATTATGGTAGATTCAGCTTTTGTAGGGAAAACACAAACTATGGTAGATTATGCTTCATAAGATTCCCAGAAATCCGAAGACGAGAGAAAAGTTTTCAGAAGACAAAGTGAGAGACGAATACAAAAATTCCTGAAAAGTTCGTGAAAAAAAAAAAAAATAAATAAACAAAAAAACCCATGATGTCGTCCCAATCTCGTCCCCAGGACTTCATTTTCAATCTCGTTTATATCGTTAACTGTGGGTGGGAAACTTGCTTTATTTATCTTTATTCGGTACCGATATAGCAAGCAATGTGTTTAACATATCTTGTACCAGTATGTAGTGTCTTGATGTTCAGCCTTGGCCTCAAGGCTGCCTTAAGGCTAGATTTTAGGGCCTTGGCCTTAAGGCGTGAGGGCGTGATAATCAATAAATTTGTTGGAAAATAAGGCTTGTTACTGGCATCGGAAATCAGGGACTTGTTACTGGACCAGTAGGACCAAACGTCATACACGCCCGCGCTCCACTGATTACTCGCGCCCATTGGATAAACAGGTGCAGCCAGATGCTTTATACATGGGTCATGATAAAATTAAATACCTAGGGTGCCATCCCCACTTCCTTCACAAGAATTTGTGAAGCTCATCAGCGTATCCCAGTGTCCTGTTTGCAGGCCGGTTGGGGGGGGGGGGGGGGGGTACGGGCGAAGTTCCTATACGTGCCTGTGGGATAGGCATATCTGTCCGTTAAATAATCTTACCACGTAATGTCGTTATCGTCGTCTCGCACAGTTTCGTATGCTTCCCGTACTTCATCTTCTCCGCCCGAGAATATAGATTGACGAGTCTCAAGATGCTCTAGAAGTTCTCTGATCAACTCCTTCTCCACTTCTAAAAGGGAAAACAGTACGTTAAAGCCCATACCATTATGAACTTTATGACTTATTGGTAGAATGTACAAATACCCAATATATTTGACCACTTTGACAAATACGTGATTGCCCTTATGTGATTGACAAATATGTGATGTTAAAGTATCGTGGCGAAACAGGGTAGTACAGACTGCAGCGAGTCTAACTCATGAATTATTTATGCACGCCGAGAGCATTAATATTAATAGTGCGCGCCTTGACCAATCACAGACGCGCATTGCACAGGTCTGGGAGATTTAGCGTGGTGTTGCGACATCACCCGGGCAGTTCGGAAGATGGCGTCGAGACAAGCGTAGCTGTTCTGTGGCCGGAAAAATTGCAGCGACCAGATCAATTGAGCCCCCGGTGAGCTTCAGTGCGATTAGTTGTGCAGCAGTTTGTGTATTAAGACTGCGGAGTTGTTGAGACAACTGTTATTACAATCTCAGTTCATCTAAACTCGGGGATAAGATTAATTAGTGGGTTTTGGATAATTGTTGGAACAAAAGGGGAGGAGTTGGAAATAATTGGTTAAAGGCTGGGAGGACTTTGGGTTGTGTGGAATTGCTTGAGGTCTGTTGAACACCGGAACGGTGGGCCTGAGCCTGACTGACTGCTGAGGCGATCGCATAACCACTGGACAAAATTGCCTGACCGGTTGACTCCGCCCTGAGTTCCTGTGAGGTACACTTTAAGCTTACTTCCACTAAATCTGTGCAAGGATAATTGCGGTCCACATTCATCTCTGTGAGGATAATTAGGGCTCACTTCATTTGTGTAAGGGTAATTGAGGTCCTGTTGAAGTTTGCTTCCACTGAACTGAGCCGGGTTGAGGTTCACTAAATCTGTGTGAGGGTAATTAAGGTCCACCAAATCTAGGTGAGGGTAATTAGACTTGAGTAGAGACTTCAAGTGCAGTTGACCACAGAGATTCAATAAACCCATTTATTTTGTACGTGGTGCAGTTGACCACGTGAGGATTATTGTAAGCCTATATCGTTCTAAAGGGTGCAGTTGACCCTTATTTGAGATATTAGTGATTATTATAAGAGATATATTTGAGATATTAGTGATTACTGTGTATTATAAGTGTGTAAATTGATTGTGTATGTAAAGATTATTAAATAGCTGATCGGAGAATAAGACCAATTATTGATCGTCCTTGAAAACATTTGTCATTGTGAAGGTTATCATAATTAATTAGTGCTTCTTACCTTTGAGTCAAGCAATCACAAAACGGTGGTAAATTTCCACCAAACGAACTGCCCCTAGGCTAAGTCCGCCGTTCGTTAATTGTCCCCCCTTGCGTCTGGGTAGCCACTCATCCTTACTCGAGGTTAATAAATATTTTTTTGTGGGATAATAGGAGTTGGTTAGAATCTTGGGATAAATAAGACCAGTCCCCTTGGGTTTCCCTCCAACCCCCCAGTCCGCCACAGTATTAGGTAGCTATAAGGCAATGCAGCTTACCTCTGTCAAGTTTTTCTTGGAAGGCTGAAAAAGAAAGATACTAGGTGATTTAAATCAATTCCGTGTAAAAAGAAGGAAAGTCATTTTTGCACATTTTTTACCTCCGATCGCATACAAGCCATGCAGTGTCAAGTTCACAGATGATAATTAATCTATATGATGTCAAAAAGAAGGCAACCGAGTTAGAAAATGTGGCTCCCTCCATTTGATAAAAAATAGTATAGCAATAAATGACATAATTTATTTACCATTAACTTGGAACATTGGAAGAAAAATTCATGTACTCTATTCGCACATTATTTCTATTCTAAGTAGGCTATATACCACAACATTGAGCCGTCCACCGCTGATCGTTTACCAATACGCACTAAAAAAAAATCCCTTCCAATACAATTATTGAGTTTTTCCTACCTCCGTCAATAAACGAAAACTTGCAAAAGAAAACAGACAATAATCAATGGCAGTAAAAGAGGTGATTTGTCCGTCATACAAAATACAAAATCTGATTTATTTATGGTTTGCGCAGCGGAACGGTTATCCGGAGGTCGCAGGTTCAAGCCCCACACCAGTCAATATCTTTGTTGAACTTTTCAATTATTTATTGTTTCATTTCATGAAAATTGGAATGACAGGACTCACCGAATGCAAAGGCACAGCCGACGACCATAATGACGAGGAACACGGAAATCTTCATTCTTGCTGAATCGGTTGAAGTGAGCAAAGCAAGAAAATGACAAATGGAATTATTGTTTTCGTTTACGATATATCCTTGTATGATGCCGAGGGGTAACCTGAGGCATGCAAGTGTGTTCTATATTTTATTAATTAAATAAAAAAAAATATTGTGAGGGGGGGGGGGGGGGGGGGGGGGTTGACAAGCCCAAAGCCTCCCCTTTACTACAATTGCCTCTCTCCACCCAGGAGTATGAATGGGTACATGTGAGGGTAGAGGACCGTCTGTGCGCCGCTACATGATATGGGCTGCCGTGTGGTCGGCTGATGAACGGGGGAATAGTTGTTAGGCGCTTTGAGATTGTTGATACGATGGAAAGCGCTATTAATTAATTTCTTAAGAAAATCACACTCGGAAAAGGCCTGCGTAAAATTGTTACTATCATCTCAATTTATGGAATCTAAAAAAAAACCCGCATGACGTGAAAGAGATATAGGCTATTCAAGAAATCTAAAATACATGTGGACTAGTGGAACTCGGAGCACTCGTATACAAAGACGAACATTTGTGAAATAATTTTGTGGCGGTCATTGGGGGAAAAACCGAAACTTAAATATGGGACCAAAATGTCTTTTGGGGCATGTGAAAGGTCGTCAGTAAAATTCGTTTTTACCCATCTCAATCTGTTTTCTCATCATTTTTTTTTTGAGGAATGCTAGGATGAAATTCAAACAGGTTTGTTTCTTTCTTAAATTTTAACAAATTTAGCCCAACGACGTTTGGCTAAGTTTAGCAAGGAGCGTTCCAGTCCGAGAACACGCCGTTCAAATGAGAACGTTCCAAGCGTTTCAACTTATGAGACGCTCCCTAAATTAAACTTAATTAAATCGTTTTTTTTTTTTGTGTAGAACATTGAAGGTCCGCTCACGTTTAATTGCCGTAGAATTTTGGAATATTATTTTCTGCCCGGCTATATAATGATTAATTTTCTGCAGGGCTGATCTTTTTTGTACATCAGAGGCATGAGTAACTGAACACAGAATAGAACTTTTAGAGGTTTTGGGAACCCCCAAAATACTACCAAAAAAGAAGAAGAATGAACGATAGCATAAAAATACATGTATCCCATTTGAAGCATGGACAGTAGCATTACATCTCACAAGTTTATATGAAACACGAGCTGTTCGAAATACACACAAAGCTGAGGCAGCATGTACCAATGTAGCTGCAAGGGCAGTCAACGCAATGGTTATTTTGATCAAAGGTATAGGTTGTCAATAAAATGGCAAGTTGGTTATTTTTTTCCAGCGACAGCAAAACCGACCCAGGCATGACCAGTGACCTGCGAGTTCTATTTTCCGCGACAGATTCGTCAAGGCATGACCAATGACCTGCGAGTTTTATTTCACGACAGATTCGTCGAGCCATAGGGCTAGGATCTTGCTCCATGGTAGAGCGCACTGCGTGGGTGTATGGAACGATCTGTGTGCTTCATAGGGCTATACAGACCATTAAATAAACTTCCGTAGACCCCAATGGTAAATGATCCCACTTCAGAAATTCGGGAAAAATACTCAACTCTCCAATGGTAAATGATCCCACTTCAGAAATTCGGGAAAAATACTCAACTCTCCAAGGTGTTCGAGACACACATCAAATTAAAGCTTATTTCATCATCTTTCATTTTTTTTTGGGGGGGGGGTGTCAACTGATGACTTTTAGGAGAAATTTCCATCCGAAGATGATCACCCCTGAAAATAGTCCTGAAGCCCATCGCCATTTTGAAAAACGATGCCTACACTCCATTGCAAAATAGAGCGCTTTAAGGGCCCCAATTTCATCCAAATTGAAGGGAACTACAATTTCACAGTCCTGTGCACGGCTTCCACCCATATTTTTTTTCAAACCCTCAAGTTCATGGCCCAGAGCATGCAAATCGTGATTTGGCCGGCGTAGGCAATTTCGGACCGATTTACTGGTCTGCAACCATTGATCTGTGTATGTGGAGACATGTCTGCAACCATAGCTCTTGAACCGGTCCAATGTATAGAACAGCAGCGTATCCAGCTTTTGATGTCGGGAAAATTCTTTCAACCTATATTTTGCTATGATTTTCTTGAGTGTTTCTCTTCATTTTGCGACGAATAAACCTAACCACAAAATTGCTCTAAAGCTGTTGTCCAGAGAGGGGGAAACCTTGTGCGGACGCGCAAGTCCACACAACGTATCTGAAACTTTGGAAGTCCACACAGTGAATGCAATTCTGTCCAGACGTGCATGTACTTACCTTTAACGTAAACTTAACACTTCGGAGAGGGGATCACGAATCAGGAGGCGAACACTAGTGGTTGCTTCCAACACGATCAAAACCGCAGAAATGAACGCCCAACAGACCAGGCTTTTTATATAATGCTGGTGCCCTATGCATATGTAAATTTTAGCCTACTGAGGTATAGCCAACAATGGCACTATAGTTCGGGTAAATACAAAAGGCGAAATCCAGTCAAGTTTATGAGTACGTGTGAATCTGCCAGCGTTATACAAAGGGTCATTTGAAATTCATAGCCAGTACTTTTTGTGCATTATTTGTTTGCATCACTGCATGTGAGAGTGAATACCTCTCTTCTATATCTGAAAGTAGCAAATACAGGGTGGATGTTAAAAAAAAACACGAAACCGAGATAGTATTGCTAATGTTAGGGTTGAATTTCCTCCTTAAAATGACACCCTGATCATGACATTACATTTACGGTTGACTGAGCTGAGACCAATTTTATGAAAGGGTCTATTTAGAGAATTTCAATCGTGGTTTTTGTGAAAGGCTATGGTTGCCAATCAAGGCAGGTGTGGGAGAAAAAGAGATATCACCATGAAAAGTGGCGCAATTCTCTAAGTAGACCCTTTCATAAAATTGGTCGCTGCTGAGTCAACCGTGAATGTAATGACATGATCAGGGTGTCATTTTAAAGAGGAGATTCAACCCTAACAGAGGATATCTCCCTTTGATTCACATGGGCCCTACTTCTGTTCCAACTAGCAATAATATATCGGTTTCGTTTTTCTTTTATCCAACCTGTACAGAGTATTGTAATACACAACCGCGCAGTACCCACAAAACGTAAAATCTTTGTTGCAGTAGATCTTAATTATGCATGCACATGTATTATCTGGTTGAACACGCCATTTCAGCCATATGGTTGCGAAGGCAAAGCGTCGGCGTACTAAGACGCTGTAACAGAGCATTGAAATTCGTGAACCCCAAAAAACATGACCTTTTGAACGTTGTGTTTCTTAGAAAATATGCTCGGTATGATTGAAATGTTACATTCTAACCGAAGAAGAAATTCTAAACTTCATGTCAGTGAAAAAAATCACCGTCATCGATGTCGAAACGTCAATACTGGTTACTGTCAAAGCTGACCTTCAAGTCTAGAAGAAATCGTTCGAAAATTTCCCCAAATGTATGTATTTATCCCAATTTCTAGGAATTTACCCAAGTTTTTATTTCACGAGTAGTTGAAACTTATATCATCTAAGTATATTCCGAATATCGGGTTAATCTGTTGTTGCGCACGATAGTGTTACAATTGGAACCATCTCCAAGGAAAATTTCGAAGAGGATCAAAAAAATCATTTGCCGTCCCAACCCATGTGCATTGTTCAGCAAAGCGCTGTAGGCGCTACGGCTGACCGATTTCGGCCCGGCACACAATGATAAAGGGCATATTAGCGTATTCATTTGCGTCACTCGGCGTGACATGGCATGGGTCTCGGTATCGAAAAAATGGAAGCCGGCAAAAAGGGTGATATTTATCAATTAACAACTCGCGAAGGAGGCTTTTGTGTAATTGTTTACTGCACACCGTAATGGATAGAAACCTCGTTAATATTCGTGAGGCTTGAAAAAATTGATAGATATTGCGCACGCCAGTGTTACAATTTTCAAAATTGCACATTTTCTCCAATTTCAACGAAAAGTAATGAACATATCACAACGATTTGTAGCATACTTGGATCATTATGGGGGAAACATATCCTGAAAGTTGCATGAAAATACGGTCTTCCAAACGAGAGAAATTAATTTTCAAAGATTTCACCCGTCAACGTGAACATGTCTGTGTGCATAAAGTTTCATTCAAAATAAAGTGTCACGTAACCTTTAGAAATCGCCTTTTGCAACCATTTGACAGTTTAGGCCAAAAAAAAGTCTCCGGTTTCTGGTATGGAGCTTGCCCAAAAAGTGGTGCGGCGACGCGGCTTTTTTTTTTTTTACCTGATTTTTTTTGCTTCATATGTGTGCTGATGACTGCAAATGGTGCCCGACTAAACTTAGTGCAAATATATGGGAGTCCAGAGAGGCCACATAAAACTTATTCTCGACCATAACAAAATCTAAAAACACGTTAAAATTGTGCAGCAGCAGGATTCCAGTCAAACCAGTGAGTTTGGCGGTTTTGAGACATCATCTTTCATTGAAAAAAAAACACTTTTTCATTTTGCCGACGCGCATGGCTACGGCGACGCGCGCGCATACCAGAAACCGGAGACTTTTTTTTTTGGCCTTAAAGGTGTTTTTTATTTCTCAATAGTATATCTCTGGCGACTTGTGCCTCATTTTGTTGGGTTGGCTCACTTATACAGACGCATATGGGCATTTTTATAGTTTTAGGCCTACTGTATGTATAATTTATTTTTTTCCATTTCAATGATCCATCACTTAAAAACTGTTTATCATTTTTCTGAACGTATGATTAGCAGCAATTTTATCTTTACGGTATAACACATTAATGTATGCATGGCATATCTTTGGTGACTTGTGCCTTATTTTTTGGGGAAGTTGGTTCACTTATACAGACGCATATATGGGATTTTCTTAATTCATGTAGGCCAACTTTAATGACGGCGCACGTATGGAAGTTGTTTATACAGTATGTATAATTAATTTGTCATTTCAATGATCCATCAATAAAAACTGTTTTTCATTTTTATGAACCTATAGCTTGTATAATTAGCAGCAAGTTTATCT